CGTTGGCAAGAGCCTCAAGGGCATCCAGCATTCAAAGACTTTCTGTCGGAGGGGCGCAGAAGGAGCACCAAGCTTCCTGGTCGTGGGAAGCTCAAACTACACCACGAGTAGCAGGGCGAACGTGGAGCTCGGGTTGCTGCTCAGCGGGCCTTGGGAGGATGAAGTCTTCCGAGCGCACACCGACCAGTTCGAGCGGCTCTGGGCCGTCTCCGAGATCCTTGGAGGGGAGGACCGTCCGGAGAAGGAGACGAAGCCGTCGCGGAGGCGCGTGACGGGCAAACAGAGCCAGGGTGAATCGGCGGAAGGTTGATCCGCCGACCGCGGCGGTGGCACCGTGCGGCAAGGCGAAAGCAGACGAGGTAGAGAGATGCCTTCACTCGTTGCGCAAAAGCATCTGAGGGGCGACTGTGATGTCTGCTAGCCTTGCCATGGTTCATGTTCTTACTGTTTCACTTGCATGTGTAGCTGTAGGAGCTGCGTAGGTGTACATAGTTCACCTCGTTTTTGGCTCAAGCCAATACTTTTGGCTCAAGGCCAATACTTTTGGCTCAAGTGGCGCGTAGCTAGGCGTAGCGCGCTGTCTCACCCGCCGACGCGTCCGCTCGTCCTTGTGAGCGTAAACAGCTGCGCGTGCGCTCGCTCGTTCGAACGTGCGCTCACATAGTAGTAACAGGTGCCACGCTAGTAGCAACAGGTGCCTTACTACTAGTAACAGGCGCCTTACTAGTAGTAACAAGGACGCTAGTAGTAACAGGTGCCACGCTAGTAGTAGCAGGTGCCTTACTACTAGTAACAGGTGCCTTACTAGTAGTAACAAGGACGCTAGTAGTAACAGGTGCCACGCTAGTAGTAACAGGTGCCTTACTACTAGTAACAGGTGCCTAACTAGTAGTAACAAGGACGCTAGTAGTAACAGGTGCCTTACTAGTAGCAACAGGTGCCTTACTACTAGTAACAGGTGCCTTCCTAGTAGCAATAACAAGGACGCTAGTAGTAACAGCTGCCACGCTAGTAGTAACAGTGCCACGCTACTAGTAACAGGTGCCTTACTAGTAGCAACAAGGACGCTAGTAGTAACAGGTGCCACGCTAGTAGTAACAGGTGCCTTACTACTAGTAACAGGTGCCTTACTAGTAGTAACAAGGACGCTAGTAGTAACAGGTGCCACGCTAGTAGTAACAGGCGCCTTACTACTAGTAACAGGTGCCTTACTAGTAGTAACAAGGACGCTAGTAGTAACAGGTGCCACGCTAGTAGTAACAGGTGCCTTACTACTAGTAACAGGGGCCTTACTAGTAGTAACAAGGACGCTAGTAGTAACAGGTGCCACGCTAGTTGTAACAGGTGCCTTACTACTAGTAACAGGTGCCTTACTACCAGTAACAGGCGCCTTCCTAGTAGTAACAAGGACGCTAGTAGTAACAGGGGCCACGCTAGTAGTAACCGGTGCCACGCTAGTAGCAACAGGCGCCTTACTAGTAGTAACAAGGACGCTAGTAGTAACAGGTGCCACGCTAGTAGAAACAGGTGCCTTACTACTAGTAACAGGCGCCTTACTAGTAGTAACAAGGACGCTAGTAGTAACAGGTGCCACGCTAGTAGTAACAGGTGCCCTACTACTAGTAACAGGTGCCACGCTAGTAGTAACAGGTGCCACGCTAGTAGTAACAGGTGCCACGCTAGTAGTAACAGGTGCCTTACTAGTAGTAACAAGGACGCTAGTAGTAACAGGTGCCACGCTAGTAGTAACAGGTGCCACGCTAGTAGTAACAGGGGCCTTACTACTAGTAACAGGTGCCTTACTAGTAAAAACAAGGACGCTAGTAGTAACAGGTGCCTTACTACTAGTAACAGGTGCCTTCTAGTAGTAACAAGGACGCTAGTAGTAACAGGTGCCACGCTAGTAGTAACAGGTGCCTTACTACTAGTAACAGGTGCCTTACTAGTAGTAACAAGGACGCTAGTAGTAACAGGTGCCACGCTAGTAGTAACAGGTGCCATACTACCAGTAACAGGGGCCTTACTAGTAGTAACAAGGACGCTAGTAGTAACAAGTGCCACGCTAGTAGTAACAGGTGCCTCCTTACTAGTAACAGGTGCCTTCTAGTAGTAACAAGGACGCTAGTAGTAACAGGTGCCACGCTAGTAGTAACAGGTGCCTTACTACTAGTCACAGTGCTGCCACGCACACGCTAGTAGTAACAGGTGCCTTACTACTAGTAACAGGTGCCTTACTAGTAGCCACAAGGCCGCAAGTAGTAACAGGTGCCACGCTAGTAGTAACAGGTGCCTTACTACTAGTAACAGGTGCCACGCTAGTAGTAACAAGGACGCTAGTAGTAACAGGTGCCACGCTAGTAGTAACAGGTGACACGCTGGTAGTAACAGGTGCCATGCTAGTAGTAACCGCCACGCTACTAGAAACAGGTGCCTTACTAGTAGTAACAAGGACGCTAGTAGTAACAGGTGCCACGCTAGTAGTAACAGGTGCCACGCTAGTAGTAACCGGTGTCTTACTAGTAGTAACAAGGACGCTAGTAGTAACAGGTGCCATGCTAGTAGTAACAGGTGCCGTACTACTAGCAACAGGTGCCTTACTAGTAGTAACAAGGACGCTAGTAGTAGCAGGTGCCACGCTAGTAGTAACAGGTGCCACGCTAGTAAAAACAGGTGCCACGCTAGTAGTAACAGGTGCCACGCTACTAGTAACAGGTGCCTTGCTAGTAGTAACAGGTGCCACGCTAGTAGTAACAGGTGCCACGCTAGTTGTAACAGGTGCCACGCTAGTAGTAACAGGTGCCACGCTCGTAGCAACAGGTGCCTTTCTACTAGTAACAGGTGCCTTACTAGTAGTAACAAGGACGCTAGTAGTAACAGGTGCCACGCTAGTAGTAACAGGTGCCACGCTAGTAGTAACAGGTGCCACGCTAGTAGTAGCAGGTGCCTTACTACTAGTAACAGGTGCCTTACTAGTAGTAACAGGTCCCTTACTAGTAGTAGCAAGGATGCTAGTAGTAACAGGTGCCAAACTAGTAGTAACAGGCGCCACGCTAGTAGTAACAGGCGCCACGCTAGTAGTAACAAGTGCCACGCTAGTAGTAACAGGTGCCACGCTAGTAGCAACAGGTGCCTTACTACTAGCAACAGGTGCCTTACTAGTAGTAACAAGGACGCTAGTAGTAACAGGTGCCACGCTAGTAGTAACAGGTGCCACGCTGGTAGTAACAGGTGCCACGCTAGTAGTAACAGGCGCCACGCTAGTAGTAACAGGTCCCACGATAGTAGTAACAGGCGCCACGCTAGTAGTAACAGGTGCCACACTACTAGTAACAGGCGCCTTACTAGTAGTAACCAGGACGCTAGTAGTAACAGGTGCCAGGCTAGTAGCAGGCGCCACGCTAGTAGCAGGTGCCTTACTGGTAGTAACAAGGGCGCTAGTGGTAACAAGTGCCACGCTAGTAGTAACAGGCGCCACCCTAGTAGTAACAGGTGCCACGCTAGTAGTAACAGGTGCCTTACTAGTAGTAACAGGTGCCTTACTAGTAGTAACAAGGACGCTAGTAGTAACAGGTGCCACGCTAGTAGTAACAGGTGCCACGCTAGTAGTAACAGGTGCGACGCTAGTAGTAACAGGTGCCACGCTAGTAGTAACAGGCGCCACGCTAGTAGTAACAGGTGCCACGCTAGTAGTAACAGGTGCCACGCTAGTAGTAACAGGTGCCACGCTAGTAGTAACAGGTGCCTTACTACTAGTAACAGTAAGAAGATTGCAGGGTTGTTCATTCCTTTGGGTTTGTTAAACATGTATTTTGATAATCTTCCTTCAATCGATAGAGAGGATTTAGACTAAAGACTTTGTATGCCCTTGTTCCTGTGCTATGTCCTTTTGATTGTTCCCACCTCAACATCTCGCCTTTTGAGTGGTACAGCAAGTGTTGAACAAGCAGCCTTGTCATCCCTAGTTCCTTTCATGTGTTGATTTGCACGGCTCGTGTGCTAAAAGCAATGTTGATTGGCCGTGTGAATAAAGTAGGGTTGTGCTCCATCAGTTCTCCCACTCGAGCGTCAAAATCATTGTTATGTGCAAGAGCCACTGCAACAGTTTATGCCATTGTTCCCATCGAAGTTCCTCCGACTAGTGTTAGGTTAAAATACAAGTGGTTTGTTTCAGCACGGTTGGGGCGATTGCATGGTTGTTTATTTGGATGTCTTCATTTTCAACTTCGAAAGGACTTAGAAGCAACATATGGTTTCTTTGCCTTTTGCTAGTTCCTTTGCCATGTTCTTTTGAGGGAAGTAAATGTTTTATGCATAAAATACTAGCAGTAGCGTATTTATTCCTCAGGATTTGTTGAATGATATGTTCTCAACATTTTCCTCAATTTGATAGAGAGGATTTAGTCTAAGACTTTGTATGATGTTTTGCCATGCCCTTGTTCCTTTGCTATGCCCTTTTGACAGGTGTAGGAAAAACTTTTTGACGAAAAGCCAAAAAAGTACCACCTCAACAGACGTTGACAGTTGAAAGTTGCATCCGTTGAACAAGCAACCTTGTTTTTACATCCCTATGTTCGTTTTGTTTCTTCCTTTGCAAAGTTCCTGTGCGAAAACCGGTGTTGATTGGTCGTGTGAATAAAAGTAAGGTTGTGCTCCGTCAGTTCTCCCACTCAAGCATCAAAGGCTGGTAATTTGCAAAAGTCAATGCAGCAGTTTATGCCTTTGTTCCTTTTCAAGCCTTTGACTAGTGGTAGGTCAAGAACATAAGTGGTTTGTTCAGCTGAAACTTCATGAAGAAATTTCCCTCAGCCATTTTCACATCCCAAGGTCAAAATTCTTGTGTAATGCATTGCATTCCTTGTCATGCGCATTGTTCTTTTGCACTTGCTTATCGAAAGGCGCAGCCATTGGCTGTCGCCCACCCCCTGTTGCAATTGCAGGACGGTGATACATTCGCACAGATTGGCAACGCTTTCCCAATTGACCCAGTGCCCTCCAATATTGCCTATTTGAAGAAAGTCCAGAGCTCAGAGTTTGTTGTTGTTCAATCAAACTTGATGCTGTGCCTTGGTGAACGTTGAGTGAAGAAGACAAACAAAGCAGGCAGCGATGAAAGCCAGAACATGTTTTGTTCAACGCGTGTGCAAGTGCATGGTGGTTATTGTCGTTTTGCCGTGAGGCAATCAAGAAGGAGGAGGAACTATCCATTGCGCCTTCCAAAATTGATATTTTTAGCCAACAGGACGAGCCGCTGTTTATGCCACCAACTGTTTTGCTAGTTGTATTAGCTTCAATTTCTCAGCGTTTGTTCGCTCGACTCAGCGCTTTGCATTGCAATGTCTTTGCTACCTTTTCACTTTTCACTCTTTTGTCAATCGCTGGTCAGGTGAATTTGTCCAATTGTTTTCTTTCACAACACCTCACCCAACCCCTTGCACACCACCGTCTCAACTTGCCTTTGCAGCATTGTGGTTTACCAGTTTGCTCATCGCGGATTTGCAGGATGGAAGTTGGATTAGGGAAGAAACGATGTCGGCAAGCCTTCGCGACACGGATGAGCCCATCACTTGGTGTTTTGTTTTGAGCAGCCTTTAACCATGCAGGGCTTCAAACTGATGTCAATGTTACAACCTTCTGATGTATTTTTGTTTTTTTGCCGCCTCTCAGTTGCGCTTGTTTCGAGAAACAGCTGTTTTGACCACACTTCAAGTTTGTGTTTTTCCCTCCAGTTTTAAGGACAGATTGCTATGGCTTCACATTGCCATCAGCGTGAGTGCTTTTCTCAGCAGCGTTACGCCTAGCGTTCCACTTGTCTTGCCCTTCTGTGGCTGAGGTGAAACCAATTGAGAGCAAGGGTTCCCAATAGTTTCAACGAATTCCATCTTTGGAGTAAATGTAGAGTGGATGTCGCTGTGGCATGACCGTGCATGCCTCACAAGATATGAGACACTGCGTTGACACTCTTGTCCAGCAGTTTGTGCACACAGCGGGCGCAGAAACAGTGAACCAAAAAGCTGTTCAAGATACGTTTCACTCGGGCAATGTATACGCCCAAGCACAGCCACGAATCCAACCATGCATTGTGGGAGAAGGTAAGTGCTTGATTTTGAACCGGCTTTCCTGAGAGAAACTTGAAAAAGAAAACTGGAGGAATATATTGTGAGGATTCCCTCACAGAGTGGCAGGGGCACGAACAACATCCATG